CCAAGGATAGAAAAGGAAGTCCAGACAGGCCCTGTGACGACCAAGGCAGGGAGGCTCTCAGAGGCCCTTGTCTCTGCTTCTCTGTCTCACTGGGCTCCATGATCATCGCTGCACGTGGGCTTCCTTGGCTTGCCCGTGGCTTCTCTGCTGCCTGGTCACTGTGGCTTCTGCATGGCGTTCTGCTTTCCATGGTGCCCACTGCAGCCCTAACACACAGCAAGAGCCTTTGTCAGGGGTGTGCAGAAAACTGGTGTTAACTGGCAAGGCCCCATCTGATTGGCCTATTTGAGTCAGGTGACTAAATCTGACCAATCAGATGTGGCCTAGGTCTGAAGTCGCTGGTACAGACTTGGCTGCCTGCGTCCCTCCCCTTGAGCAGAACTGTGGGTCCAAAGAGCATCTTTACTTGGAAGAAGTGTGGGCAGGGAGGCAGTGGGTGGCATCTCTGGGCAAGTAAAGTGCCGAATGGGAGTCGAGGCATCATATTTCCAGTTGTGGCTCTGCCGTTCACACCTGTGGGGCCTACAGCAAGGCACAGCCCCTCACTTTTATCATCAGTAACTTGGGGAGACTGGACTGGATAATCCCCAAGGCTCCTTCCTGCTCCTACATGCAAGCCATCCTTGAGTGATGCACGATCAGGCCTGGCCTCGTGTTCAGGCACCCTCCCACACCTTCCTCAAACCCAGCCCTCCTCTCCCAGGCCCCCCCAGACCCACTGGGGAGGGTCTCCAGAGGTTTTCCCACCCTGAACCTGTGTGCAGCAGCCATGAACCACTCAATGAAGATGTTCTCTTTCTGCATTTTAAAATGCCTGTTTGTTGAAGTTGATGATAAAGAGATTGATTGGCTGTTTTTAATACCCCCTTTTAAATAGAGCTCATCTCACCCTGCTTGTGATGGTATTTTATTGCCATAATAATAATTGCAACAACCATTTATTGAGTATTGTTCAATATCGCCGTGTGCCTGGCTCAGCGAGAAGTTTTTGGGTTTTTTGTTTTTTTCTCACACCTTGTCTCCCATAATTCTTTCTCACACCCCTGGAGGTAGGAACTGTTAACGGCTCCATTATTACATTTTACCTTATACAGAGACACAGAGGCCAAAAGAGTAAGCTCAATGGCATAAGTTTGAGGTCTTCAGCCAATAAGTGGAAAGTCTGGGACTCAAACTTGAGGGGTGGGTCTGACTCCGCATTACTGCTCTGAGTCACCAAGTTTCTACTGTCTGCTTAGAAGCCCAGGTGCCCCTGGCCTCCTAGAGGGAATCTGTCTGCATAGAAGGAGTAGACCTTTAAAGGGGGCACATCTGCACATTTGCATGAAATAGCAGCTGAGTGCTTGGATAAGCCCCCCGTGTATGCACTGATGAGCAACCCCCCCCATTTCCCTGATGGAGCATGGCGCCCAGGACCTAAAATGTAGGAAGTCAGCATTCTTCTCCCTCCAATGGCTTGTCCCTTCTAAGTATAAGAATGGCTCTTTGCCAGGCCCGTTTAAAACCTTTTCTAAGTTATGCAGAAATTAAATGGGTTTTCACTGCAGGGCATGAAACATAATCTAACAAGGTCAGACACAGGGCCATTCCTTCTTTTTCCCCCTTTCCCCTGTCTTCTTGGGTCTTGCTTTTAAATCCTCTGATCAGTTGCCCAGAGAGCCTTTGCCCCGGACAGGAGGGATGCGCGGGTGAAGAAATGTCCCCTCCTCCCTGAGGCAGGGGACTGGAGAGCTGACATTCTAGAGGGAGCCGTCCCTCCCCTCTGGGCGCTGCTGGCTCCACAAGGGGTGTGCTCTGAAGTGCTGTCTAGCTGCCTCGCGGGGGAGGGGGGCTGGCTGCTCTGTGATCCGAACATGTCCCTCCCTCTCGTGGCAGAACCCACAGGCCCCGACGGATGGCTCGTTCTGGAGTGTGGGGCTGGCTCCGGTGCTCGCGTGTGCCGTGCACGTTGGATCTGGAGGGAGAACTGTAGTTTAGCTGGGAGGCTTGTAAAGATCTCCTCGAGCCCCGTGCCATTGTGGTGGCACGTGCAGGCGGGGAGCGGCTCCACCGAGCCCATGCCAGGGGACCTTCAGACTCCCCGGTATGCGTGTGCAGAGTGCCTGTATCTACAAGGTCCCCAGGGAACAGTTCATCTCCGTTCCAATTTCAAGGAAGAGACAGCTTACAGAGGGTGGGCAGGGCGAGGGGGCATTAAGGGCTGTTGAGGCACGTGGGACCAGCAGCAGCTCTTAGGGCTGCAGGGAGAAAGGGAGGGGATGGTGCTGCCTGCCTGGACCCCCACTGAAGGCTGCAGCCAGGGCCAGGGCGGGGGCCTACTGGCCTGGAGCTGGAGGGAGCGGAAAAGTAATTCCCCAGACTCCTTCTCCACCTGCCTCTTTCCCAGACTCCTTCCAGCACCTCCCCCTGGCAGAAGCCAGCCTGCAAGGGAGCCTGGGGATGGATGCAGTCCCCTGAGGTCCCCCTGGGTGGGCAGGGAAGGGGAGACAGAGCAGGGTACTCCGTGCATCTGCGGGGTACAGTCCAGCACGGTGTTATCAATATTCATCGTGCTTCTTGACACCTGCCTGCCCTCCCCTTGAAGGCATTCTTGTCTGTAAGTCCTCTGGAAGGCACCGGATGACAAAATCACAACTGCCGACCTCTAAGCACTTATTATATGCTGGGAAATTTGCACTCCTGAGCTCGTGTGCTCTTCACACTAACCCTAGGGGATATTATTGACTTCGGTGGACAGAGAGGGGATTAAGGATCAGAAAGATTAAGTAACCCGAAGACACACAGCGAGGCTGGCGTTCCAACAGAGGTCTGTCGATCCCTGAAACCTTAGCACCTGTCCGCTCTGCCGCCTTGCACACTTGATGCTCTTCTGGAGGGAAAGAGAGTATCTGTTTTCCAAGCCACCGAGCTGAGGAGGGGAAGCCTTAGCAAAGGAAAAGGAGGTTCAGCAGCTCCAAGGTGTGAGGCAGCCTGCTGGGTTTGAAAAGTACAAATGGCTCTCCCTACCAAGAAATATTAACCTGATAAGAATAGATGCTACACAGGATCTTAGCTAAAGGCCAAGAAGGGGTGCCTTCCAGGAAATAAAATGTGGAGGAGGAGACAGGGCTGGACCCTGAGGGCCTGTATCCTACGCAAAGGGGCAATGGGGAGTCATGGATGGTGTGGAGGAGAGGGGCCTCCCTGTCTGCCTCCTGTGCTCCGTGCTGGCGGGACAAGAACAGGCTATGAGCCTGTGCATTCAGCCTGACACTTGCTTAGTGACGGGGGAGAATCAGCACACTCAGGAAGACACAACGGCAGCCCCATAGCATTGCTCTCCAGAGGCCCTTTCCAGCCTCACCCGGGGTCTTATAAAGAATGTTCTTCCCTCAAGCAGATAGTCCCGGGGAAGGGAGGCCGGCATGCCCCAGTGAGAGTGGTACAAAGCGGTGACACAGGGCCCAAGTCATGGCCAGCAGCACAGGCCGGAGGCAGCAACGTGAATGCCTTCCTTGAAAGGAGCCCTACAGGTGTCAGAAGGGACCAAGTCATTATCCCAGTGCAGGAAAACACGCAGGACCAGGAATACTGCCTTTGCCCTCAGGGAGCTGACGGGCTGGTCCCACACCCCTGGCTAGGAGCCATCTCTCGCCTTGGCAGATGACCTCCACATCATCCAGAGGAGTTAGGAGGGGAATGGGCTTCAGTGTTTTAGAGAAGTCGTTAGCATAGAGCTGAAGCTCATTGGCTTAGAATCCGACTGCTTTCTACCACTGCCTAGCTGTGTGACTTGGGCGAGTTACTTCACCCTTCTGAGCCTTAGCTTCCTTTTCCAAAACCGGATACTAGCTGCCCCCTAGAAAGCCACTTGTTACAGAGCCGACAGACCCAGCCCACAGCACAGGACCTGGCATAACAGTCAAAGGGAACAGGGATTGTTTTCACCCTTTTGTCTGTGCGAAGAGCCTCCTTAGCTTGCCTATCTTCAGATGTGCCCAGAGCTCACTAAATTATGAATCCTTCGCCCCGCATTTGGCCAGCGTGGCCTGTGTGCCAGGCACCGTGGTGGGCGCGGCGGCGATGAGAGCTGACAGTCGGGCAGAGATGCAGACAGGTCCCGAGGGTATGCCGAGCACTGCCTGAGCGACTCATTCGTGTCGTCAGAGAGGATGTAGCTGGAACACCCCCCCCCCACGTGCCAGGCACAGTGCTAGGCAAGCAGCAGAGCCCCGTGGCTTTCATGGAGCACACGTCCTGTGGGGGAAGATAGCAGATATGCGGATGGTGAAAAATGCCAGGGTGACGTGGGAACCAGGGTGGAGGGTGGGGGCATGGGCGGAGCTGACCTGCCTTCAGGTTCTAGAAGATTCAGTAAGGATGCAAAATTTCACCAGAGACCCCAAGTCAGAAAAGGGCAGGAGTGTGTGCATAGTGTATAGAAGAGAAAATCATGGCAGGCTTCCAGGAGGTAGTAACATTGGATGGCTCTTGTGGGCCTCTCGTGGCATGCTGCCACGGCCCAGGGACAGCCTGGGGATGCCCTACACCAGGGCAATCCAAGCAACCTCCGTGCTGCCAGGCGAAGCCCTCAGGGCCCCCTGCCACCTGCCTGTAGTACACCCTTCTCAGCGACCTGCCCTTGAACCTCCCAACACGCTGACTTCCGGGTGCCCCACTGAGCAGCCTGGGCCCGAGGCCATGGGGCGCTCAACAGAGGAGTCAGCACCGCCAAGAAACAGGGGTTTGGGGACTTCAGGGCCCTCATCCAGAACTCCAGGATAAGCAGATCATCTTTAGAACGGGTGCTGTTACAGCCCCCAGGAGGCCATCAAAAAAAGGGAAAATAAAATAGATACTGCATTTCAAATTCCTCTGAACCCTCTTAGAATAAAAATGACAAAGCTGCGGGTCTGGTTGGCTGGAGGGAACGTGGTTACTGGCTTTGGGGGAATAGCCGCCAACGAAGGCAGCTGCTCCGAGCACTACTCAGCCTTTTGTTTGCTTTGCTTCACCCCCAGAACACGCCGGTGGGGACGCCCATCTTCATTGTGAATGCCACGGACCCCGACCTGGGCGCGGGCGGCAGCGTCCTCTACTCCTTCCAGCCCCCTTCCCTGTTCTTCGCCATCGACAGCGCCCGCGGCATTGTCACGGTGGTCCGGGAGCTGGACTACGAAACGACGCAGGCCTACCAGCTCACTGTCAACGCCACGGTGAGTCCCACACGGAGCGTCTGCCTCCTCCCACCCCGGGGGGAGCGACGGAACATCAGCGTCCTTCCCTGCTGGTCAGGGCTCAAAGTGACGCTGGCATTGGTCATAGTAGGAACAAGAGCGGTGCTGTGCTGAGCACTCAGATGGATTATCTCCAGGAATCCCCACGACAGCCCTAGCTCATGAGTAATATCAAGGTGCCCATTTTACAGATGAAGAAACTGAGGCACAGGAGCAATCCAGGTGACCGTGGTGACTCAGCAGCTGCACTCCAGAGCCCACAAGACATTCATGGTGTGGGGTGTCCCCTTGCTCTCTGGAACATCAGACAGAGGCGGCAACCCAGCTATGTCCTGACATCACCCAACATGCATCCTGAGTAGGGCACACTGTGTGTGCCAAGCCCCATGCTGGGGCCTGGGGACTGCAGGTTCAGTTAGTGAGGAGACAAGGAGAGAGAGAATAATGGTCCCATTGTATGGCTGACACTGTTGAGACTCACAAGCCAATGAGTCCGGGGAGCAGGAACTCAAACGTGGCTTATCTGACACCAGTCCAGGGCCCAATGGCCAGAGGTTTCTGAGTTTCCAGAACATCACAGTCACTCGGCCTCTGTCGCCTGCTGTTCCGGAGGGCCCCCGAGGGACAAGCAAGTCACACCCTAAGTAGGCTCCGTCCCCTGAGCTCCCGTCTCTGCCTGCTGCTGCCTCTGTCTCCAGGCACAGCCAGAGCCGTCAGCAGGCTGCAGGGCAAGAGCTGGCCTCTCGTCCCTTCCATTTCTCTTTACAAAGTTCAGGCCAAGAGTGAAACAAATGATTGCAGCCCCCCTTCACCCTTTTGGACCCATTTGCCTGACATACATCCTCTGGCCCTGTGTCGCTGCAGTGGGGGCCGCCAGCCCCTGGGGATGGGCCAGGTCAAGGGTCCCGTCTGAAAGATGGGGCTCTCCCAGGCTTGGGCAAGGTGGAGAGGGGCCCCCAGAACCAGGAAATGTACTCTTTTTCTGGGGAGCCCATGGCAGGTGACCTTCACATTCTTCCCTTCTCCCCTGGTTGAGTAGTAGTTGCCTGGGCGGTCGTGTGTGCTGCCCTTTGTAAGCCTGACTTCTGGGACCAACAGGGCTTGCAGAAGTGCAGTCTGCTTTGTGCACAGACCTGCACCCTTGCGTGCTCCCTTGACACCCCCCGCCCCCAGCCGTGGTGGCCCTCGCGCCACTTGCAGTTTGCATACACAGTGGTGCCCAGGAATGTGCAGATGCTCAGTCTCTTTCTTGCTTACGAACCTGTGTCTGTGGAGTAATTTCCGTCTTCTGTAAAAATGGTTTTGGGCCGGTGGGGAAGAGACCAGAGCTGGGCTTAGGCTCAGATCTGGGTGGCCCAGCCTGTCAAGAGGCCCGGGCTCAAGCTGAGATGGTGAATACAGTTAAATTGCTGTTAATCTCCCCACATCAGACCCTGAGGCAGTAGATACAGAGAAGCCCTTCAGTGTTGACGGTGCCTCCACCTGAAGGAAACACAGCCCCCCTCCCCCCAGGACCCGTGCTGTGCCCTTGGCTGCTGGGCGTTGCCCAAGGAGAGTCTCCTGGGCAGCATCGAAGGGAGCATCGTGGGGTCCCAGCCACCCCTGGGTGGGCACAGGTGGGGAAATGTGAGGACTTCCCTGGAAACAGCTGTGAGAGCTGCAGGCCCCAGAGCGGCAGCCGGGAGCCCAGCAAGGTACCTGCCTGCCAGTGTGCCCTCTGCCGTCCCTGTTCCCCAGCGTGGAGTCCGAGGTGGGCTGGATGGGGGCATCTGTGGCGGTGGCAAGGCTGTGGCCCCAAGACTGGGATGGAGGGGAGGGACAAAGCCGGCTGCCCCCAGAAGACGGCTAATGGCAAATGAGAATCACTGGCCTCCCCTGCTCAGAAAAGGTCACGGGCCTTTCTGTCCCTCCCACTCTGGCCCTGTCTGCCTGGCTGTCCAGGTCCCTGGTGGAAAGCTCTTGCCACGGGCAGCCCCCGAGCCTGGGCTGTGGGTTCCATTGTCTTGGAGCCTGGAAAGCCATCTCCCTGGCGGACCTGCTGCCCAGCGCCTCCTGTGTCCAGGCTCTCCCCTACCCGACTGCACCCACCCCCCATCCCCAAAGTCCCTCACCCTCTCCGGGGCTGTCCCTGAGGACTCTTAGGACAGCCTGCCCTCCTCCCCAAAGCTTGTTGAACTGGAATCGAGGGGATGCTTTGTATCGCTCGGGTCACCCCAGACTGAGGGAGACCTAATCAGAGGACAGTCACTCTCAAATCCCAGACCAGAGAATTTACAGGCCCGAGGGTCCATGGAGGTTGTGGTGAGCCCCTTCGTCACACAGAGAAGGAAATCGAGGCCCCGAGAAGAAAGAGAATTTATTCACAGTGACCCAGCAAGTCAGTGACTGAGATGATGTCTGGGCCCCAGATCAAAACAGGGCAGGTTCGTTTTGCAAAAGGATCTGAGTTTGAGTCTTGGCTACACATGTACCATCTGCATGACTCTGGGCAAGTTACTTAACCTCTGTGACTCGGTGAACACATCTGAATGATGGGCACATAGTATCTGCAAAAGCACATAGTATCTGCAAAAGCAGACAAGGTGCTAGCTCAGTGCCTCGTATGAAATCTGCATTCAGCAGGTCTTTTCTGTTGCTCTTACCTGTTGTTATTCGATAGCCGTGGGCTATTTAATCAGTTTATCATGGTGGGCTGTGTGTTTGGGGGTAATAGAAGATGTGTGTCTGATTTCTTTTCTTGGTGAGCTTTCATAAAACTAAATTGGCATTTGACTAGGAGGGTTTAAACATGGCCTGCCTGGCCACAGAGGGATGGCCTGCATGACCTCTCAGATTTCTTCCTGGAGCCCCCCAAATGGCACAGGCCCCAGAGCGCCCCCTGCTGGTTCTATCAGAAAAGTTGCTCTACCAGTAAACCCTGGGTGCAGACAGGGCCCCTGGCGAGGGGGGGGGAGTCTCAGAGTAGCCCCCTCTCCTGTGAGAGAGCCTTTTTTCTGAGGAACGTCCATCCTGGTCATTCCCTTGCTGCCCTGGGATGAGAGGGGACAGGAAGTGGGCATGGCCAGGGCCTCTGCCTGAATCGAGAGAAGTCGCTAAGGACAGCGCTAGCTCTTCACCCCAAGCCAGTCATCCCACCCTTGAGATGATCAGGGCTAGGCTGGGCTGGGGACAGGAGATCTGGCTCTACCCTAGTCCCGCTCGGTGACATTGGATAAGCCGCTGTCTACTGGGCCTTGGGGGGCCCTGTTTACGTTTTCCTGCACAGGTCAGAGATCACTGTGGGTGCTTAGAGTTCTTGAACTCCTGTGTACCAAGGATCTTTGCGCAGGAGTGCGGGAGCACGTGTGTACATAGGCACACATGTTTGTGCACACGGTGTTGTGTGTGCAGGTGTGTGTGTGTGTGTGTGTGAACAATGTCACAACCTAAGGCTTTGTATTCTTTGTCTTCTAAGGATCAAGACAAGACCAGGCCTCTGTCCACCCTGGCCAACTTGGCCATCATCATCACAGATGTCCAGGACATGGACCCCATCTTCATCAACCTGCCTTATAGCACTAACATCTATGAGCATTCTCCTCCGGTAAGATGCGCCCCAGCTCTGTGGGACTTCCCTCTGAGCTTCCTTTAGGGCCAGGGGACCTGTTTGGTAGGACAGGCCCTTCCTCAGCATTCCTTATTCTCCTCAATCGCTATGCATGTCAGTGATGGGTATTTCAGCCCAGTGAAAACCCAGCTCCCTTCTTCATACTGCACCCCATGTCCTCATCCCCTCGCTTCATCCCCAGGGGGCTCCAAGAAGCAAAAAACAAAGACTTACTAGTGTAAACAAATGGGAGCAGTTCACAGAGATTTATGTGGGATAACAGGGTGCCAGTGGAACCAGCCTGGCCTGGAGAGCAGATTTGGACTCAGCCACGCGCACCAAAACAGATATGGGCTCAGCCACATTCCCCATGAGCCAGTCTGCCTCTCCTAGCCAACCAATGGCTGCCCAAGATGGTGGCAGGTTGCCCCCCACTCCCCAGCCCTCCCGGGCTTGGCTCTTCTCTGAGAGTACACAGCTCTGGCCACCCCTCCTAACGGTCTCAAGTCCAAGGTTTCCAAAGAGGCATCTGATTGGTTGTGCTCACGATTTTGTGCCGTGTCACACGGTCATAGATCTCCAGCCAGCCTGTAGATTGGCTGCCCTTGGGCGCTTGGTCTGCCTGTGGTTCAGTCAGTCACGACTGGAGATCTTCGAGACCCAAACGTGCTACTACCCGCTTGGCCGGGGCTTGGAGTGGGCAGCTTCGCCCACCCATCCCTTGCCCGGGAGTCATCCGTGCTTTGGTGCAAACTAGACTGAAACACACACACTGGGCTCCTAAATTAAGAAAAGCTGGCTCCTCTCGGCTGCTGCCACACTGGACATACAGCTTGGGGAAGCTTCTCTTGTGGAAAGAAAAGTGTGCTTTTCCTTTTGGGGGACTCAGTATGCTTACAGGAGAGACGCACAACTTGGAGAGCAAAGCAGGGCACCCACCTACACGGGCTCACAGGATTGGGTATCAGTGAGAGGTAGGCTTCCCTTGACCGGGCTGCAGACTGTACCTATAGACCACCACAGGCCAGGGAAGCCTGACCTCCACTTTGGAGGTTGTGGTCCATTCTGACCATGGCATCCTTGAAGCACTCTGTTTCAATTTCCAGGTGTGTGTGGGGTAGCCACATCCTTTTTGGGGCCTGATATGGGCTGGAGGATCTAACAGGCAAGATCCTTTTTAGTCTCTTGCTGCAGGGTGGAGGAGGAGATCTTAATGCCTCCCCATCCTCACCTTCTCTTTCTAAGTGGTCCATGGACAGCAGGACCTCTAGCCTTTGAGGCTAAAGGCTATCTCTTTCCAAAGTCCCTCTGCTACCCGCACACCTCAGCCCAGGGAGGTCTTCCCTGACCTTTCAGAGGAGAGGGGCCCTTCCAACTGTTCCTGGCCCCTGCACATCCCTTTCTTAGCACTCAGCGCTCTTGGACAGCTGGTTCAGCCTCTGCTTTCCTGCTGGCCAGAAGCGTAGTTGGGCAGGGGCTGGGTCTATTGGGGGCATCGCAAATCAGGGGTGCTAAGGATATGTTTGTGGAAGGAACAAACAAACGAATGAGCAAAGGAACGCACGACGTCCGGCCAGACCAGCCTTCCCACCTTCCTGCCATCCATCCTCTTCACCCCTTAAGGTCACTCCTACCACCAGCATAAAATCCGCCCTTCTTCTGGTTCCCAGCTCACACCGGCCACCTTTCTTTGATTTTTTTTCCCCCTGGCTTTATCCTCACCAGCCCGCAGACATAGCCAGCCATTTCTTTCCCCTCAGCGTTCCCCATGTTGCATAATTTACCACGGAATTATAGTTGCACCTGTAATGTTGACCGACGTGTGAGTGGGTTACTTTGGAGCTCCTGGTAGTCAAGGTACCTGAGTCTCTGGGAGCTGGTCTCAGGCTCCCGGGGACGGGCGGGGGGGGGGGGGGGGGGGGGGGGGGGGGGGGGGGGGGGGGGGGGGGGGGGGGGGGGGGGGGGGGGGGTGTCTGCCAGGGCCTCATGCCCAGGGCGGAGTGTGGCGAAGATGCTCAGAGCCAACCTGTTGGTTGGAGTGAGGGTGTGATGGCCACCAGGCAGCCTGAGAAACTCGGAGCAGGTCCCTGCACCCTCCTTGGCCAAACCACACACGCTTTGGACGGCTCCTCACTGGTCACGTCTGCACTCTGCCTCCCCTGAGGGTTTTAAGGATCGGTGGTTGCATGCTTGTGTAGAGTATCCAGCAAGGCATTCAGTCACGCCAGTTGTGAGTCGGTTGCCGCTTTGGCACCATGAGCCCACTGAAGCTAATGCCACAGGAGCTCCCAGGGAGCAGATCTGAGCCCCACCACTTAGGTCATGACTGGGTTCAGGGGAGCCAGACGAGGAAGTAAGTGGGAGGTTTCAGACTCTCCCGGGCACCCACAGAGCCTTCTCGTGTGCACAGACCTCGCCCTCTCCGCCCTGTCCCCGCACTTAAAAGGAGCACTGTCATTTCTGTGTCCCTAGCACAGCTTTTTCTGCTGCAGGCCGATTCCCATATTCTCCAAGCCTGATTTTCCCAGGCTTCTAATCGGTTTCCATGCCTTGATCTGAGCCCTGCATGTCCCTTCACAGCATGGAATCCTGACTTAACTCAGTACTTCCCAGGCCGGCCAGGGCCAGGGAGCACTGTGGCCGGCTCAGCTTCCTCCACCCGAGGACCCAGGCAGCCCTACACCCAGCCTTGCCTCTGGAGGCCCAGGGCCTCCATTCGGACCCCGGCCCACTCTGCCTCACTCCTCTTTATCTGCGGCTCCCAGCATGTATGCCTCTCTCTATCAGTGTATCGGGCCAGCATGCCTCATCTAAAGTGTATATATTACCTAATAAAATCCTTCTTATTTGGGATTATTGCATCAAATTTTAATTTCCTCACTCGAGCGGCGGCATGTCGGCCTGCCCGTCAGTGAAGGACCGATAGAAGGTGAAAAGAGCGGATAAACTGCACAAATTACTGCCAGCTGATGCCTATCAGCCCTTTGACTGGAATTGACTGGAATTAAGGAGTGAGAAATAGGATTTTCTGCCTCAGAATCTGCTGCGGCAGCTCCTGTCGGAAGTCCCCTGCAGCCCCCACTGGCCCCCTCCCCGCAGAGGCGCCTCCCACCTCCTGAAGCAAACTGTGTCCACCTTTCAAGTCCCTAATCCTGTCATGGAAATGGGAGGGCAGTCCCAGGGGAGAGAGGTGGGCTGGGAGCCCCCCTCCCCCTGAGGCCCCGGCAGAGCCTGCCAGGTCACAGCCCCAACTCCCACCCTGGCCGGATGCTTTGGAAAAGGCAGGCCGTAGAAGGGAGACCCGAGTTCCTTCTAGAGAAGTCTGAGCTCCTCTCAGCTGTGCCCCGACTTCCCCACCAGTAGCCAGACCTCGGAGGCATGGGCTGTCTTGCACCCCTCCCCCACCCCTGGCTTTGGCACCCTTCCTGGGCACACAGCCCCGGGCCTGTCACTTCTGCCAGAGAGCAGTGGCATCCCCCAGACCCACCTCAGCACAGCCCTCCGCACCCCACCCGCTCCCCATGCTTTGTGGCTTGAAACCAATTCTGGAACCTCTGAGCCCCCGTTTTCTCACACATCTGCCCGTGTTGGGGCTTGTGAGGGAAACGTGAGGGCAAGGCTGTTGGCGCCCAGCCTAGTCCGTGGCACAGAGTAGCGTTTAACCAGTGCCCGCTCTGCCTGGGCCGTTAGCTGCTCTCTCTGTATGATACCTAGAAAACCCCTTGCCCATAGGATGCCTAGTGTGATTCTGGCATGCTGAGGAGGCCAAATGTGCCGAAGTTCTTTGGAATATCACGCGCAGGCACTGTCTAGGGAGAGGCAACTTCGCCTGTATCACATGCTCACACGGTCTCAGGGGACAGTGACAATCACTTTTACAGCATTTGCTCTGTGTAGTAGGTACGGCTCCAAGCGCTTTACAAATATCAGTTGCTCAGGGGTGGATGCTGTTATTATACCCATTTTATAGACTGGGGAAAACAAGGCAGCGAGAGATCAAGTAACTCACGCAAAGGATTCGCAGCCCAGACAGTCAAGCCCCTAACCCCCTCACCATACTGCTCTTCCCACCACAAGGAACCAGGGCCCTGGAGGCCTATGCCCCCTTAGCTTCTCAGGGGAGCCTCGTTTCCCAGGAGGTCTCCTCCTTACAGGGTGGGTTCCGCGACAGGAGGAGCCTCGCGTCCCGATGGTCCCTTCCCTGACCCTCCCGGGCCTTCCCACCTGCTCTCCCAGCCAACCACGCCCCCGTATGGAAGGCCAGCCAGTTAGGGGCCTGGCTCTGGGCAGGCAGGGGCCGTGCTGCTTCTCCATCCCCTCGTCTTTGGAAATAAGTTTCAGTATATTGAAAATATAATTACGGAGACTCTGAAACAAGAGTTGTGGGATCCCCAGGGCCCCCATTCCTCCCCGTTAATTCCTTCTTATAACATTTCCAGTCTTTGTGGCTGCGCTTGTATTAAAAGCTCAGGGTTTTATTAAAAATGGATTTATTTACCCAAAAAGAGATGAAACCCCAAACTTTGTCAGGAGCCTGTTGGATCTCACTTCCCAGAAGCTCAGGTGTGGCCCTTTCGGGGGAGAGCCAGCCTCCTCCTCATCTCGTTCTGGATTGTCCGCTGGCCCCTCTGAGCCCTGCTGGCCCCACCAGCCCAGGAGGACTCGAGGCAGCCCAGGGTGGGAGTGCGTGTGTGTGTTTGGGGGGGGGGGGTGGTCCCAGGGCTCTGAGGCCTGAAGACTCCTTGGCCCCCAGGTCCGATATTTGCACCGGCCACCACTGGCCCCCTTTCAGTCCTCCTGGGACTCACTAGGCCCAGCTCAGCCCAGCCACTCCCAGGTTGTATGCCTGGGGGCCTGCAACTGCCCCTTTGGGTTTATTGGTTAGTGATTTTCCGGAAAGGTGCTCTGGTAACCTCTGGGCACAGTTACCTGGCAGGCTGGTCTGTGCCCTCAGCAGGCCAGGGGCTGCCTGGAGACCATATCATACTGGAACACATTTGGGGCCCAGGCCACATGGCACTCTGAAAAAGAGGGAGTTGTTCCCACGTCCAGAAAGCCCATCCCGGCACCTGAGCCTCACGCCGTTGGGACCTCCCCCTGAGGACAAACCCAGGCCCCTCCTATGTGAGGGGTGGCCCCAGAAGGGCAGACATCCCCAAAAGTGCCCTTTGGGGGGTGATGTTGGGGGGAGCGGTTAGCGGTTAGCGTAGACCCTGCAAGTCTGATGAATGCCTCCCGAATAAATGCCTGGGTCTGGGGCTATTAACAGATGCTACAGGAGAAGCGTCTGTCATCTGATTAGAAAGCCCAGGAGAGCAAAGGTTAACAGGGTTGTTGTGGTTGTTGCGGTTGTGTGTGTGTGTGTGTGTGTGTGTGTGTGTGTGTGTGTTTTAAACCTCTTTACTAACTTCTAGGAGCCTTGACTACGCTAAAGCCCCAGGGAAGGATGGGACAGGTATGCGGTCCCAAATGCGACATGAGCTAATGCTTGTGAAGTGCTTAGATTAGCGCCTGCCAACATCGCAGGGACTGTCATCAATGACAGTTTGCATTATTATAACAGAAGCTGGTAGAGAGGCGGTGTTGCCTGGCGGGCAAGAGCATTTTGGAGTCAACGTGTCTGACATTGAACCCTGGCTTCACCATTCCTTCCTTGCAACTGGGCCATGGCAAGGCCATTTAACTCGAGTTCCTCAGTTTCCTCGCCTGGAAAATGGGGCTTCTGGGGTAGGTGTGAGGGTAAGATGAGTTCGTACGCAGCAGGCGTTTGCAGCAGTCCAGAGTGGGTGCTTGCGGAAGAACAGCACCTGCTGTAGCTGGAGCCCCCTGGGCTCTGGCCCCTTCAGATCCTGGGAACCCACCTGGGGAGATGCTCATTTGATGCTGTCTTTCTCTGACTTTGTTAAGTCTCTTTTCCCCCAGGGGATGTAGTCAGAGCTCTGTCGTCTGTCTTCCTAGAGGGGAGGGGCCCCAAGGAGGAGCCACATCTGCTTCCTGCATGGCCTTGGCCTTGGGGCAGCAGCCAAGTTTCTGCCAGAAGTTTCTCCTGGAACAGTCTCACCTTCCCTCAGCCCAGAGTGCTGCACACCTGGGCCCAGGAGAGAACGGAGAGAGAGCTGTGCAGGGACAGCTCTGCCCCGGGTGGGTGAGGTGGTGGTTGCCCTTCTGTGTCTGGCAGTGAGAGCAGAAGAAGTTGGAATGGAGGCTTCCCGCTCCCGGGGCCCCGCCCTCCCCATCAGAGGGCGTCTGCATCAGAGAACAGGTCTCCCTCCACGGGAGAAGATGCTCAGAGCACACACCCTGTGGACCTCTCACTCTCATGAACAGCAAATGGGTGAGAGGCAGCGTATCAAGTCCAGAAGAGCTCATCATTAGACATGTAAATGCCAGGATTGACATTTCCCTATGGGATGGGGACAGTGCTGTCCTGCTCATTACTTAGTTTTTATTTTTCTTTTTAACATTTATTTATTTTTGAGAGACAGAGTGCAAGTGGGGGGGAGGGGCAAAGAGAGAGGGAGACAGAGAATCCAAAGCAGGCTCCAGACTGAGCTCCAGACTGAGCTGTCAGCACCGAGCCTGACGTGGGGCTTGAACCCACGAACCGTGAGATCATGACCTGAGCCGAAGTCGGACGCTTAACTGACTGAGCCACCCAGGCGCCCCTGTCCTGCCCATTATTAACCAGGGAGAACAGTAGCCCAGGTGAGAATCTCAGGCCGACATGGTAGACAGGCGTGGCTGGTTGACAGGAGAGTAAGGTGAAGGTTGCTGTGGGCAAGGGGCGATTTGGCAAGTGCTGGTGGTGGTGAAGTGAGAATCCTCTTTTGTACGTTCATGTATTCGGTCATCCAACCAATCCATCACCTGATATTTGAATGTGCCCATTATATGTCAGGATCTCTTTCTGGACAGTCTTACAGCTCCAGTTCTCTGCCCCTGCTGTATCGTTTGCCTTCTGCGTCATTTTCTTTCCCTGGAAAACTCCTACGCATTCTCCGTGACCCATCAGAGGGCTGCTGTCTGTGTAATCCTTTGCCAGCTCCTCCAGATGGACTTCTGCACTTTGAGGTGCATTTCTGCATCTCAGCACCCTTAGATGTGTATAGCAGTGCCTGTGAATCTGTCCGTGACCCTTCCCATAGACTGTGCGCTCTCTAAGAGCAGGGACCCCTGAGTCCTCGTCCCGGTGGTCTCAGAAGCTGGCCCCTCCTCCCCCAGTGCTTCAGGGGGAATGAACAGGGTGTGAGCAGAGCCTTTTGAGGCAGGGACTGCCGGTAGTGGTGCCGGTGAGGGCGTGGTTCATAGGACCCTGGTGGCCCCCCGAGTTATCCCTGGAGATACTCACTTTCAGGATTTATAATAATTTCATTAGTAGAGTAATTGATCCACGATGTTCTCCTTTACTCAAGTCCTAGTGAAAGCGAGGTCCCAGGGCTTCTGCTGTTACTCATATTAAGGTTGGACAACTAAGACTAGAAAGGTGCAGCAACCCACCTGAGGTCACACAGCAATTTGATGGGTGACTGAGACACAGATGAGATCTCTTGTCCCCCAGCTGGATGCTCTTCTTTCCTGGGTAGTTACACCAGAATAGGGGGGATGGGGAGGGGAAGGGGGAACGAGAACATCAAGATTGGGCCTCTCCATGAGACTTGGAGGTGTTTGCCAAGGCCCCAGGTTGATGGGGACAGCAGAGACCTGAGCACTCAGCAGCTACTTCCTAGGCTGGCCTGGCAGCAAGGAGTCCACCTGGGGAGGGAAGCTGTGGGTGCCAGAACAGCTACAGAGAAAGATGGCCACCCGGAGACTGGGTGACCAAACTCAGGTTCCTCGTCTCTCCTGCCCAGGGCACAACGGTGCGAGTTATCACTGCCATTGACCAGGATAAAGGACGTCCCCGGGGGATTGGCTACACTATCGTCTCAGGTAAGGCCTTGGGAAGGGGACTGAGTCGACGAAGGAGGGAGGAGCCGGGAAGGAGGAGGGGTGCTTGCCACCGAGGATAAGATCTTGGGGGCCGCGGGGGTGGTGTTGGGAGACAGGAGTGTGTGCTGCTGTCCAAGGTCTGAGGCATCTGAGCACTTTGGGGCTCTGAGCCCGGATCATTGGGGACTCCCGTCTAACCTCCTTTAGTGCTCTGGGTTTTTCTTTGTTTTCTTTTCTGACGTGATGAAAGGATGGCATTTGCATATCATTTTAGAATGACAGAGCTGCACGTCAGCCAATTTCGTGCTCCTGTCACATTTCTGAGCATGGGGAGTTCATGTCTCGTCACAGGGGAAGCACAGAGTCCCTCTTCTCCCACCCGCTCTCTCGGTTGTGTGGAATGGTGACTGGCTACGAAGAAGGTTCTGGGTGATGGCGTCTCTGACCTCATATCCCCACCCAAAGACAGATCCTGTAGCAGCTCTGTTTGGCTGTCCCAGGATTGCTTGGCTTTGGAGAGAGGGAGCTGGTGACAGGCCCATGAGAGGCTGATCACTCAGAGACACTCCCTGGCTCTGCCCCTATGCATCCTGCCCCCACACATTTGGCCTCCCACTCTGCCCAGTCAGGGGTCAGCCTAGTGCATCTGGGCAGGCCAGACTGACAGCCAGGAGGATGGCAGGTCACCGGCCAGTGTCTACCCCGACGCCTCTCCTGACCACATCCCTACAACAGAGTGACATTTGGGGGACATTTTCCCCCTAAAGCTCAAAAGACACCAAGGTGTAAGGATGAAGAACATAGAGGATGGAGTCTTGTGAACATACTGCCTTGGAATGATCTATATACCTCAGTTTCTCATCCATAAAATGGGAGCAATAAGTGTACCTACCTCGGATGGTTAATGTATGTAAAGAACCTAATTAATGGATCTAAGGTCCTATATAAGTGTTAGTTGCTGTTGTTATTATTATTGCTGTCAGCCAATAATAACCTTGGAAGCTGGGAGTTAGCTGGTAGGAAGAAGCACACCCATCCTTGGGAACACAGGAAATCAGGAGCATTGTGGGTTCCCTGTGACCTGCAGCTGCTGGTGTGACTCCTATTGCATCTTCAAGCCCAGGATCCAAAGCAAATTCCCCCCCCCCCCCCCAGCTCATGTGGTCAGCAGCAGCATAGCTTTGGGCCTCGCTTCCCCCACCCCACATCTTCCCTATCCGGTGCCCCAAACAGGGTTCAGCAGAGTAAACCCCCATGTACTTGTGGAATGAAGGAAGGAAGGAGAGAAGGAATGCAACTCCAGGGTAGTGGGTTTTCAAATTCCAGAATGCCCAAGAATCACGTGGGGCTCCTACCAAAAATACAGAGTCCTTGGCACCCATGGAGCTTCTTGTGCTGTGGAACTAGGATGGGGCCCAGGAATGGTCCTTCTTCACAGTGCCCCAGGTGCAGATGGTCCTTAGGCCAGGGTGTGAGAAAGCTAGTCCTAGGAAGGAAGCTGTTCTGCAGGAAGGCAGAGTCCCCCCAGGATTTGGGAGCTCTCTTCTACCGAGCAGAGGAGAGAGGCCCATGCTGGTGCTGGTCTCCTTTATGAGTTTTTCAATTAGCAAAGCAAAGCAAGTGCCTCCCAGGGGCAAGGGGCTTGTGCTGGAGACCTGCAGAAACAGCAGTGAGTCCCAAGGGTGGTAGAGTTGAGGGGTCAGGATAAGGTGGCATCATGAAGAAGACACCTGACTGGGTGGGGGGATTGTCTCCTCATTTCATTGACTGTGTGCTGGCTCCAGACATACGCCAGCCTGGATGAGGGTGGGGAGCAAGGATCCAGGAGCTAACATGCGGTCATGGCCAGACAGGAAATTCCTGCAGTGACACTGAGAGGCCATCCTCTAAGGTGTTGGTCCATTCCACGTTCATGCTGGGTGCCAGGCCACCAGCCTCAGACCCTCAGGCCCTCTCCAGCCTTCAAAGAGGACCCCAGCCTGCTTTCCCTCCTCACCCCATCCCCTGGGAGCAGGAGGCTAGAGGGCAGAGCCGCCGAGCCTTGGGTGTCTGAGCTGGGCTCTGGAGCCTGGAGTCTGGGGACAAAGGTCTGTGGCAGCATCCTATCAGATTTCCAGGGCCATACTCTCCTGGGCCAGGTCCCCGAGTGTGAGCAACAGGATGAGAAGGGAGACCCAGAATGTGAAACTACAGGTAGGCGTTGTGTATAAAGGTGGGGGCAAGAGGCAGAAACTTCCGTAGCTTTATAGGATTCCCATTGCCAGCAAAGATGTACTTTGGGGGCTTTTTTAGAAAGGATGACAAATGGGTTTCCTCTCACATGCCAACTCTGATTGATTGGTAATGGCTGCCTGAAGAGGACCATGAAGCCAAACAGGCTCAGTTCGGTATTCAACTGGTAGAGTCTGTTATGGGCATGGAAAGAGAAGGCAGCACCTGTAGCAAATAGATGCCATCCTTGCTAAGATGGCACTTGGACCTGCTTATAGGGTGGGCTTGATGGTCCTTGAACTCCTTCATGGGTGTTTGTCACCACAAAACCCATAGCCCCACGCAAATCCTTTTCAGGCAGCTTGAGGAAAAAAAGGTTTCCTTTCTCCTTCCCTCCCGATCCTGGGCACCTGGCTTACTGGGTGCCCACCCACCTGTTCCTGCCCGCCTTTCTCTGGCCCTGGGGTGGCATTATCTTCCCACAATCTGGCCTTACTGTGAGCCTAAAGCAGACAGACAGACAGGAGGGCAGAGTCCCCAGGGGAGCAGGAGATAGAAAGGTAGGATGTGGCCTCAACTCTACTTCCCTTGACCAGCGCAGACACTGCTGCAGAGCCCATTGTCTGCGAAGGATCTGGCCTCACACACCTGCCTTTCCAGTGATGTTAAGCCTCATCCATTTCCTGGGAGGCTCAGCCACTGTCTCTTTGGCTTGAAGCAGGAAGCAGGAATGCCCACAAGGGCACCTTCATATGACTGCCCCAAGCTGGCCCTGAGTACCCTGTGGGAGCCTGCTCCAGCCTTCAATGCTAGGGAACCATTTTCATTTGAGAGGGAAGATGAGGGTTGTGTTGGCTCCTGGAGCCAGGTGTGAGCCCTGAAAGCTACTGTGCGTGACACAGTCTCTGGGTACCTCCAGAGCCTGGGAAGGGGGTGACTCTGTCCACATGTAGGTGGACCCAAGCCTGAGCCCATGAGTGATCCACGGCATGCAGTTAACCTGCTGGGCTCCTTGAGCCCCCATCCCCTCTGGGCTGTTTATCAGCCCGCAGCTGGGGGGATTTATGTCTGCACACCAGCGCTTTCACCATTACTAATGACCCCTTTGTTTTGCCAAGAACAAAGAGGCCTTCAGAGGTAAGTTATGGCCCCATTGCCATCAATTTGTTCTCAGCCTCTTGTGGCCAAAATGAGACTGAAGAATGACAAGGTTCTTTCCCACAGAGAACCTGGCACAGGCCCCATCTGCTTCCTCAGCCTGTGCCTGCCCTGCCACTCACCAAGGGCATCACTTCCTCCAGGACCCAAGCAAAATGGGGCTCCCATTCCCAAAGGCCACCCCAGCCTGGGTTCTCAACAGACACCCTCCTTTGCCAGATGGAGACGGTCCTGCTTCAAGGGGCGGCTGTGCCCCTCCCCATACAGAGTACTGGACTTGCAGTCCAGAGTTGTGGGTTCGAGGCACAGCTCTGCCACCTGCAGCAGAGGAAGGCGTTTGACCCCTCTTAACCCCATAATCGTTATCCATGGTACAGGGTTAATAATCCCTATGGCAGATAAAATGGTGCCAGAGAGACTCTAAAGGGCCATAAAGTACTAAGCATTATTAGTTATCAACGAAAGATCAGGCCCACGGGTCCTAGGAACTTCTATTCACTTATTTCCTCCTTCATCCTTTTAAGCAGATTAGTGGTTCAGTGCAGGCTCTGTGGCTGCTGTCCAAGGTTCTGACCGCTAGCTGTGCTGCCCAGTATGGTTGCCCCTGTGGCTACTGAGCTCTTGAAATGTGGCTAGTCTGTAAGATAACACCTAGGGGATCTGGAAGACTCAATATGCAACACAGGTTATAAAACATCTCATTAGTAATGTCTTATATTGATGACATGTTGAAGTCACATTATTTTAGATATACTGAGTTAAATATGACATATTATTAACATTAATTTCATCTGTTTTTTTAATGTTGAATGTTTTTAATGTTTAATAGCTACTAGAGAATTTAAAATGCCACATGTGGCTCACATCCTATTTCTGTGGGCAGCTCTATTCCAGAGTTAGACTGCCTTGCTCGCCTGCTACCACTGACTGGCTGTGTAACCTGCATCAGTTTTTCAGCCTGTGAAGTGGAGGTAGGAGGAGCCTGAGCCTCATATGGAGGCTATCCACATACAGAGAGCAAAGCCATGTAACCATGTAGAAGAGCATCTGGTTTTATAATAAGTGCTCAACAAATGCGGACTCTTGGCATCCACCCACGTTGGATCAAGGGTCTTCTCTGAGCCGAGAGCTGTGTTAATGTCCTGAGAATGTGTAGGGCTGGATGCCCTGTCTCCAGCGTAGGTGGGAAAGCAGACTGAGAAGCATGGGCTGTGGCAATAACTGTTGACATGGAGTGATGGCTCCCTGGAAGGTCCATTAGACTGTTCTCTCTCCTTCTGTGTATGTTTGAAAATATCTGTAATAGGAAGGGAGAAAGCATCCGTGGGAGGGGCCGCCTCCCCCAGCCGTCACTGGGCTGAGGACACTCACTGAGAAGAGATCATCTAGTCTACGGCCATATCACCCTGAACACGCCCGATCTCGTCTGATCTCGGAAGCTAAGCAGGGTCGGGCCTGGTTAGTACTTGGATGGGAGAAGAGATCATCTAAGCCACCCACCGACTGATGAGCAGGCACTACCCAGGAACTGCGGGGTTAAGGCTTTGCAGGTGGAAGGAACAGCATTTACTGGGGTCCCAGAACAGGAGAGAGTGTGGCATGTTGGTAGAACAGTAATTCAGCTTGGCTGA